TGCCAAAGCCTCCTTTTTTTAGTGTCGTGCAACTCCATAAATTTGCCTCTATCTCGTGCATATCCACTTTCTTTGGCTTTTTTTAGCTTTCCCGGTACAACTTCCTATTTCTTTATTTTTCTTCCTTTAGCCGTCTCTCTCTCCACCTCTTTTATGCCTAAAACTCTTTTCTTTTAGTTCACCACGTAAGTCTCCCCGTAGAATAGGATGAATGACTTTTTGTAGTGTCCAAGTCAAACACTTGTTTTCTCTTTAGTCTTTAATTCTTGCTTTTGATTTTTATTTTCATTTCAATCTTTGTTTTTGTTTTACTTCTTTAATCTTCTTTTAATTCTTTGTACCTATCAATTTAAAGTACATGAGAATTAATTTATATCAAATAAAACATAAATTACACACATAATTAACAAATTTAAGCTCCAAGTTTACATAAAATATATGTATGAATTATACTTATCATCGGACAATTTATTATTCCTTGTTCTTCTTTCTCTAGGTCGTCCTATGAAAATAATATGTATTCTCTCGATCTCCTTCTTGTATCTATATTGATCACCCTTGAATTTTTCCTTATCTTCCAGCCTTCTTCAATGTAGCTAGGCTCGAGTTTCTACTTGTAAAACCAAGTAAAGAAAGGTCCAACACTAGGATGATCAAATAAATCAGCTATTCTTATGCAATCATCAAACTCAATAATATGTGAGAAATATCGGATCAATAGTAGTATGAAGGAGAAGTAGATTCCTTCGACACTACTACCAACAATAACCATGGAGAAGAGGTCGGAGAAACACTACCGCCACTTACAAACTCAAGTAGTTCCTTGTTAGAGCATAAACACAAGAACCATATGTGACAAATATCCTTAAAGCGTATATGACTCATAGATCATGATATATATATATATATATATATATATATATATATATATATATATATATATATATATATATATATATATATATATATATATATTTGATTTCATCTATGATAGAGCATAAAATTATTATTTTTTATATCATCTATATGAACATTACGTAAAATTAAATTAAAAAAATATCTTTAGTTTGATCATGTAAACATTATGCGAAATTATATATCATCCATCGACACTTATAAAACGTAAAATATTACCATAGAGCATAAAATTATTTTTTTTACGACGACTTTTTTTAAATAATTGCTTGATCATTTATTCAAATACAAAAATAAATATATTTCTTATTAGTTTTTTCCGAAATTATATGTCCGGACATACCGAATTTATCTTACATGTATGTGTAGTATCAAAACTACATTCTTGCTATATTGATTAACATAATTTGTTTTCAATTAATTTATCTTGAACCTTTTTTTGGGTATTACAAAGCCGTGCAAAAGGCGTAATTAAAAATACAACATTGATTATCCAACACAAGTAGCCGTGCGAAAGTTGGCCAAACTTTAGTATATTAACCATAATGATTAGCGGCATAGTTGAGAAATTTTATAATACACAAGGAGTAACTAGTGGCATGTACAGTAGTTACTCCTCGGGCCCACTTTGAGGAGAGAGATAGACACATAAAAAGAGAGAGAGAAAAATAAGAGAGAGAAAATAAAAAAATTTGAGCGGATGTGAAAATCTTCTTATCACTTTTAGTGGGTATGGATGTAATTTCTTCTTTTTTATGTGTCTATCTCTCTCGCTCAAAGTGGACCTAAGGAGTAACTACCGTACATGCCACTAGTTACTCCTTGTTTATTATAAAATTTTCCGACACAGCTTTATCCAACATTGATTGGATAGTAATTCAAGGTCACGTCAATGGAACAATTTAGTCGTCTTCTTTTTAGCGAGTGAGATTCGTCTTTTACAAGGAGTGTATGAAAAAAAAAAGAAAGAAAAAGACTATTTAGTATAAAAAATTATATTTGAAAGATGGGATGGTTTTTTTTAATATTTTAATTATTATTTTAAAAAATAATTTAAAAATATTAAAAAAAATTATAGTAAATTATTAGTGTTATGCGTATAAATTTATAATTAAATTTCAATAAAGCCGAGAATTTAATAGTTTTTTATACATCACAACCATAATTAATGAGTTAAGACAAATAATCCGAAATATATTTTTAATCTTTATATATATATATATATATATATATATATATATATATATATATATATATATCATTTAAAAATTCTAAGTATTCACGATATATATTATATCAATTTATATTTTAAAAAAGAGAAAACAATTATATTTTAAAATTTTATTCCAAAATCTATAAGAAAAAAAATTTATTTATCGGTAATTAAAATTTTATAAAAACTAAAAATTAACTGGATAAGAATTTTTTTTTAAAATGACAAATTGAAAGAATAAAATTTAAATAATAAGTGTAATATAATTTAAAATATATATCAATTTAAAAAAAATATATATATATATATATATATATATATATATATATATATATATATATATATATATTTTATCCTTTCTAGACAACATAAAGAACAAAAAAAATGTCGTTCGATCTTCTATAACTTTTGCCTAAAAATTCTTAATAATTTAAAAATTTAAAGGAAAAAAAAGTCCAGGCTCGTGTTCGGGGGCTTGGAGCACTTAACTTGTGTGTTTGGGCTTGGATTACTAGGTTTGTGCGCATGTCATGTTCAATAAATAAATAAATAAAAAAGAAAGTTGACAATGCGTCATTTGTCCGTAATTTTTAACAAACTTGATTTTACTAGAAAAACTTTTGAAAAGTCATGTTCCTAATTTTTAGCCTCCCTAAACCCAAATTCAGCTCCAATTTGGGTCCAAAAACAACTCAAAATTATAGAAATAATGTTAACAAACTCGTTTAAAATCTCAAAATCTATTTTAATAAACATAAAGAATTAAAAAAATTCAAATCAAAATAAAAAATTTGAAAATATTTTTGAATTTCAATTTACCTTCTCCGACCATTTTATGGTTTGTGACCATTACAAACAAATTTTACTCTTCGGAACAAGCAAATTGGTAGGGACTTTGATGGTCGAGGTGATTGAAATGGGCCTCATCGTCCTCTCCCTCATTCTCTCTCTCTCTCTCTCTCTCCTTTCTTTTTTTTTCTCTCTCTTTTTGTTTCTTTTTCCTCTAACTAGCTAAGGATTAGAATGCAAGACAAATGAAGATTGAGACCGAAAAAAAGTTTGTTTTAAAAAATAAGAGACCGAAGTGTAATTTTTGTGTAATTTTTTTTTGACAAACTTGCTTATAAACAAGTAAAATACATGGTGTAATTATGTGAGGAACAAAAGTACGAATGAACGTGAGTGAATAATGAAAAGAATAGTGATTTGAATAATGTTTTGTCAATTTGTTTTGGTTTTATTTATAATTAGTCAATCGGAAGGGAACACTACAATTTTATACGATGTAGCAAATGCATATACAATTGTAGTCCTTTTCAATGAGTGTGTCTTAGATGCCCTCAACTATCATTTTAGCCATGAGTCACTTTTTCAGTAGCCTTAGTTTAGTTTGATAGCTCATTATTAACATTCAAGCTCTCGACAAGTGGACATTTTTTTACTTAAGCAATACTCACAAACTTTTTCCTTAACAACGTGTAGCTATCTTCTTTTTCGACTAACCGAACAATCGGATTTCATCGAGGACGAAGAAAGTGAAATTGACCTCAAATCAAACCCTTAGACAAATTCAAAACCTTTCAAAAAAAAAAAAAATTGGGTAAAATTCTAAAATAGTTGTATCATTTTAAATTATGGATGAAAACTATCATATTTTTACTATTTTTAACTTGAGATAAATATTGTTTGGATTGTGATAATTGAGATTTGGAGTGTGATTAAATACACCATCGTGTATCGAACCCAAAAGGGTCGAAGATTCTAGGTATTTTGCAGTGAAATAAGATTGGTGATCAAGGCTTTGCGATGGAGCCTAGAGGACTAAGCATAGGATTTAACTTCGGTGGTATATCCGAGATAAATATTTATCCCGATGTTCTTATTCGAATATGATAAAGTTTAATAGGAATTAGAAGTGACAAGTAGGTGTATTTAACAATAGGATATTGTCGGGAACCTTTCGAAGAAGTTATAGAATTTTCTTATATGATCGAAGTTATGAGTGGCCTCTAAATAAGTTTATTTGATTTCGTGCGATTGAAATGAACCTATCGGTGACTTCTCATTTACGTTGGCGAAGCCATTAGTGGCTTTCAAACTTGTTTACTTGATTTCTATTCGATTGAAGTAAGTTATTTATGAGCTTTTTATTTATTAGCCACATGTGACTTCTAAATTTGTTTACTTGATTTTTGTTGGCTTGGCGATTTATTCTTCCATTGTCAGTATATTTTTTTAAGTTAAAAAAGTTTAATAGGAATTAGAAGTGACGATAGATATATTTCACGATAGGATAATGTCAGAAACCTTTACGAAGAAGTTGCAGAATTTTCCTATTATTAAGCAACAGAACCAATCGACAAAGGTTAGCACGAAGGGATTAACTTTTAACCTAGGATTACCGAAGCTCATGCTTCAAAAGGTGGGCCACTTCAAATAAAAAAGGAAAATGGCTCATCTAGATTTAAGAGCTACAATGTTGCACAGCTAGTCCTAAGTCCTACGCCAGGGTAATGTCCCGAAAAAAGATTAGAATAAATTATTATTTCATCCTGGTTGTTTTTAAGAAAATAATTAGAGAGTACTTTTGGCTTAGAAAGATCCATATATATATATATGTATTGTTGTTTAATTATCTTATGATTTTGATAAAAATTTGTTTCGATTGAACAAGAGATTGGGCATGAAGGAACTGATTTGAGCTTTTCATATCCTATTTGTAAAAGCACTCTCTGCTTCGCATATCAAGTGTTGTCGTCTATGTCTATCAGACGGCTCCACGGCAAGTCGTTTAAGACAAACTGAACTCCTCCTCTTCTTCCACAGCGCTCGTTATTCGTTCCAAAAATGCAGATACCAAGAAATTGTAGGCATGAGAGCAAGAAGTAGAAGCAAGCTTCTCTGCAATCAAATGCCTCAAAACATCCCATCTTTCAACTCCAATAATGCGAAAATCAAAAGGATCAGTTCTCTTTTCGCTCACTTCTCCATTGAATTTCGATTCCTTACAACTTCTCTAACTGACCCTTCAGTAAAACCCCACACAGATTTATCTCTTATTAACTTTAATGGTATTGCACACTCTGTGATATCTAAATATTCTCATTTCTTTGATAAAAATGAACCCAAAAGAGACAACTTTTTTAATGATGCTTCTTTTAAAACCCTGCTTTTAGATATCTCTGATGTAATACCTGACCTTACTCGTCGTTTTTTGAGGGTTTTGAGGTTGAAACCAGAAGATGTGCTTGAAATATTAATGGGTTTTCAATTTGAGTGTGAAAGAGTTGCAGTTAAGGGTACAAAGGTTGAGTCTTTATGGGAGATTTTCAAGTGTGCTAGGGAACAAGATAAGGGTTTTAGGCATTTTCCTAAGTCATGTGAGGTTATGGCCTCTATTCTTGTTAGATATGGGATGTTTAGAGAGGTTCAGTTATTGCTTTTGGCAATGGAGAGACAAGGAATTTCAATGGATAGTAGTGGGATTTTTGTTAGTTTGATTGAAGGGTATGTTGGTGTTCGTGATTTAGAAAGGGCTTTTTTAGTGTATGATCAAATGAGGGAGGGAGATTTAGTGCCTTCGTTGTCATGTTATCGTGTTCTTGTTGATCTTTTGTTAAGAATGAAGAGAACCCAGATGGCATTTCGAGTTTCTTTAGATATGGTAGAATTGGGAGTTGATGTCAGTGAAAGAGAGAAGGCTAGTTTTGAGAATGTTGTCAGATTACTTTATAGGGATGGAATGATTCAAGAAGCGAGGAATTTTATTAGGAAGGTAATGGCCTTAGGTTTTGAGCCTAGCAGCTTGGTTCTTAATGAGATTGCTCGTGGGTATTGTGAGAAGAAGGACTTTGAGGATGCAGTAAGGTTTTTTGCTGAAATGAAATGTTCCCCAAATGTGCCTACTGGCAATAAGATTTTATTTAGTTTATGTACTAGTTTTGGTGTAGAGAGAGCAAATTTATTCAGGCTCAAATTGGAGCACTTGGGCTTTATGCCTGATGAAATAACTTTCGGGATCTTGATTTGTTGGTGTTGTCGTGAAAGGAAATTGAGGAATGCCTTCAATTATTTATCAGAGATGTTATCTCGAGGCCTAAAGCCTGATATGTGGTGTTATCATGCTCTTATCAGTGCATTGTTTATGGAAGGCCTATGGAAGCATGCATGAGACGTTCTTGATGAAATGGTGGATATGGGAACAACACCTGGTTTAGCAACTTTCAAAATTCTTTTGGCAGGGTATTGTAGGGCTAGACAATTTGATGAAGTAAAGGTGGTGGTACGTGAGATGGAGAACAGTGGTCTAATTGAATTATCTGCACTTGAGGATCCACTTTCGAAGGCATTTATGATCTTGGAGCTCAAGACATTATCTGTTAGGCTGAAAAGGGACAATGATGTTGGGTTTTCTAAGACAGAATTCTTTGATGATCTTGGTAATGGACTTTATTTGGATGCAGACCTGGATGAGTATGACAAAAGAGTAACTGGGATTCTTGAAGATTCTTTGGTACCTATTTTGATTTTCTTGTAAGGAAGGAATGCAATCACGGAAATTTTAAAGCTGCATACTTGTTGACAGGTGAAATGGCTCGATGGGGTCAAGAACTGTCCCTCTCTGGTGTCTCTACATTATTAAAGGCGCTTTGTGCTTCTCTTTCCCATATCAAGTTATGCAGCAGTCTTTTGGAGAAGATGCCAAAGTTGGCTAGTCAACTAGACCAAGAAGTTCTCAGTTTGCTAGTCCAAGCATACTGCAAGATTGGATTGACATACGAAGGGTGGTTAACTTTCAATCAAATGCTTCAGAGGAGTCTAACAATTAACGGTGGAACATATACTGCTCTAATTAAGGGACTATGTAAGAAGGAAAATTTGCGGAGCCTTCATGATTGCTGGGATTTAGCTCGAAATGGTAAATGGTTACCAGGGTTGGTAGATTGTATTTCTCTGGTTGAATGTCTGTGCCATCGTGGAATGCTGAAGGAGGTACTAGAGCTTTTGGAAAGGATGCTGGTGTCAAATCTTGAATCAAGGTTAGAAGTCTTACATATCTTCCTTGAAAAGCTTTCTTTTTCAGGCTTTTCAACCATTGCTCACTTGTTGGTGGAAGAACTACTACAGCATGGTTGTGTCTTGGATCAAATTGCATATAGCCATCTTATAAGAGGGTTATGCAAGGAGCAAAAGTATAAAGTTGCCTTTACGATATTAGACATTATGCTTGCTAGAAAAATGGTTCCATGCTTGGATGTTTCTCCAATTTTGATTCCTCAGCTGTGTAAGGCTGATAAACTTCGGAGAGCTATTGAATGAATAGAAATTGTTTCGAGAGAGCAATCTACATTCCACGCTGATTTTAATAAAAGATTTTGTATGACAGGAAAGGCTGGAGAAGCAGCCAATATTTTCCAGAATATGCTGTCCAAGGGGCTGCTTCCAGACACTGATATTTATAATATGCTGTTTCAACGATTTTGCCAAGCCAAAAACTTTAAGAAAGCTAGGGAGTTACTTGGTGTTCTCATAAGAATAGGTGCAAGCCTCTCAATCTCAAGTTATCGCAGTCATGTGCGCTTGATGTGTTTGGAGGGTAAATTGGATTTTGCATTGAGCCTGAAGGAGCTAATGGTGCAAGAAAGCAAGTCTGATAGCCTCGTCATATACAACATTCTGGTTTTCTATCTTCTCTCTGCTGGGCAAACTATGGTTGTGAACAAGGTTTTGAATGAATTACAGGAGAAGGGGTTGCTATTCAATGAAGTTACTTATAATTTTCTTGTATATGGGTTTTGTAAGTGCAAAGATATCTCTACTTGTATGCACTATCTGTCTACAATGATTTCAAAGGAGCTTCGGCCATGCTACCGCAGCTTAATTACAGTAATAACCTACCTGTGTGATATTGGAGAAGTTGGTAAAATATTGGAATTGAGTCGAGAAATTGAATTGAGAGGGTGGGTTCTTGGCTCAATTGCTCAAAATGCAGTTATTGATGGCCATCTTTTCCAAGATAAGGTTCAAGCAGCAGAACATTTTCTGGACCGAATGGGAGATAAAGGTCTAATTCCTCGAAGTATCAATTATGATAATTTAATTAAGCGGTTTTGTTGCTTTGGAAGACTGAACAAGGCCATTGACCTTATAAACGTAATGTTGAAGAAAGGAAATATCCCTAATTCTACTGGTTATGATTCTGTTATCCATGGTTTCTGCACTAGAAATCAACTGTTTCAATAATGACTAGTAATTAATTAATCTCCATCCAATTGATTTGTTAATTGGATGCCAAATAAACAAAAAAATTATGTAACATGAACTGGATTATTATTATTATTTTAACTCATACACTCAAGGCTCCTAGTATAATGAGTCTTTTAGGATTTAAACTCTTAATATTTTGTTCTAAGAGATCATTATCATCGAATTACAAGCTTTTTCATTCACATGAACTGAATTGTACGACTGAAACACTTATAAAATCAAATGGATTCTTCAAAATATTGTACGGAGTCAAATCGTATAATGATTTAGTCGGGATTTAAAAGGGTTTCTAATTATTTTAAGGAAGAAATAACGGTTTAGATTTAAGGATACAAATAATGGTGTTACAATTTAATTAATTAAAAAACTAATCACATGATTACCTAGCACACGAACTATTTACGGTTCATCTTGGATTTACTATTATTTGAGGCAATTAGTTTATTGTTTAAATTTAATAATTAGCAACTTATCGATGATCATCTAATAATACGAGAGAGAATATATATATATATATATATAAGAAGGAATAACCTCCGTACAAAAATCAGCTAGGGATGAATAGTAAAATGTCTTTGCTTACATCTATCACATATAGCAAATGAATTGCGGATATTAAGCTGAAAATATTTGTTTTTCTTAAGAAACTCTATTCTCTACATTGTGCCACCGTGGGAGGTTGGTTTTTGTATTAGCTTCTCTATCCCGGTACCTGGGGTCTTCCATCCTCAATTTTCCTTTTTCATTTCTTTGTTGATTATTTTTGCAATCTAACACCAACTACATGTCAACTTGTCATTACCATTAAAGTGCTTTGCATGTTAACAAGTCATTAATTAGGGTGTCATTCAAAGAATTAAAATTAAAACTTAAGAAATTAATAGATAAACGGGTATGGATAAAGTATGGATAAGGTATTATATAATGGATATGGATCGAGTAAATAAATAGATAAACGATTTTTAATAGGTAATGAATATAATATTTCTTAGTGATTAGGGCAAGAAATTGACTTAATGAGCTGGGTAATAGGCTCATTGCCATCCCTAGATATGATGGTTTTTGTCTTAACGTCTCTATCCCTATAAGTGTGGTCTTCCATCCTCAATTTTTTTTTTCTTTTCCTCTTTTTTTATATATAAAAAAGTTAACAAATGCAATTTCATTTATCCCAAAAGAAAGTTGAGTTACTAATCTGATTACAACCAAGTGGATTCGTTGATTATTTTTGCAATCTAGCACCAACTACATGTCAACTTGTCATTACCATTAGAGTGCTTTGCATGTTAACAAGTCAATAGGGTGTCATTAAGCCCTTGCTCTATTGGTATAGGCATAGAGTCTAACGAATTTATCAAGAAAAGTAAACAA